TGATCTCCGCGGACCCACCTTGTTATTGCTGCTCCGCTCCCAGCTCCCGGCCCTGCCTCCTGCTCCTTCCCGCGGGACACAGCGGGTTTTCTCGGTTGAACACGGGCCCGGGACAACTTTGGGGTGAAACTGGGTACATTTCAGCTCTCTGCTTTTGCTCAGCTTGCCTCTGGTTGAGGTTGAGGGTCGTGTCACCCTGGGGTGGCCAGTGGGACCAGGGCAGGGACTGTCCCCTGTGACTGGGGAGGCTGCACCTCCAATCCTGGGGTCAGTTTTGGGCCTCTCATGACAAGAAAGACTTTGAAGAGCTGGAGCACCAGGGAGAAGGGGCTGCAGGACCAGGAGAAGGGGCTGGAGAAGTTGTGAGGAGCAGCTGAGGGAGCTGGGGGTGTCCAGCCTGGAGCAAAGGAGCTGAGGGGAGACCTTCTGGCTCTGCAGCTGCTGAGAGGAGGTTGGAGCCAGGGGGGTTGGGCTCTGCTCCCCAGGAACAAGTGATGGGACCAGAGGAACCGGCCTCGAGTTGCCCAGGGGAGGTTGAAGTTGGATCTTGGGAACAGTTTCTCCCTGTCAAGGGTTGTCAGGCCCTGGCCCAGGCTGCCCAGGGTCCCCATCCCTGGAGGGGTTTCCAAGCCCTGGAGATGGTGCTGAGGGACGTGGGGCAGGGGTGGCCTTGGCAGGGCTGGGGGAACAGTTGGACTTGAAGATCTCAAAGGTCCTTTCCAACCAGAATGATTCTGGGCCAGCAGGGACCAAGCCTGTGGACCCCTGCCCCACAGCTGCCTCCCCACCGTGGGGGGGACCTGCCAACCTCTGGTGTCCCTGTGCCCACCTCTCCTGCCCTGGCCTTGTGGAGCCCTGAGCAAGACTTGGAAGCTCAGTAATGAAACACAGACGGATGTGTTGGTGGAGCTGCAAAACCTCCTGGGATCAGGTTTCACCCCTGGGCCAGGGGAAGGACCAGAGAAGATGGTTATTTATATCTTGCCATGGGAAGAGCCTTTCTTCTCCTTCCAGCCTCTCATTCCAGCCTGGCCCAGCAAAGCTCTTGGTGTGAATCTGGGGGTTTGTCCAATGTCCTCAGGGAGAGGAGAAACCCTTGGAGGGGGGACCTGTGTGTGGGTATTGCTGGGAGCAATGGGGGTCACTGGCTGAGGAGCTCTTGGACATGTGTGGTGGGGTGTCTGCGGCCTGAGAGATGGAGCCACATGGATTTAAACCCAGTGATGTTGAGACTGGATCTGGATTTCTGGTGCGGGGAAGGAGCCTGAGCTCAGATCTGCTCTTTAAGGAAAATTCATATCTCCTGTGTTTGGGAACTTGTAACCCCTGCTGTGGGCTACATCAGGGCTCCTGTGAGGAGAGGGAAATGCTGCTGGACCTGGACTGTCCCTCAGCCCACCGTGGGGGGGCAGGAGAGGAGGTGTCAGTGATTAAAGCAGGGTCAGGTTGTCTCAAGGTCTGTCCCTGCTCCCCACCCGTGGCTTTGAGGGAGAGGTCATCTCCACAGCGTGTTTCCCACCCTGGGATTCTCATCCCAAAGCTTTGCTGCTGCCTGGTCACTCCATCCTGGTGCTGGCCAGGTGATGGTGCCAGCGTTGGGTCTCCAGTAGCCACCACTGTCACCTGTGCTTTGCTCCTGGTGCATCCAGTCCCTGGAGCCCCCAAGATCCTCAGCCTTGGGCTGCAGGACAGATCTGGGAGGGAGCCCCAGTGCCCCAGCAAGGTTTTCTCACCCCACCGTGGTGGGGCAGGACCTCATGGGCGTAGCAGGGCGTTTTGCTGGCCCAGCAGCTCCTTGGGCAAGGAGCTGTGCCAGGAGCTGGGGTGGAGCCACCCTGGGAACCCCGGGCAGCTCCAACAGGTTCACTCGGTTTCTCTGCCCGTTGCGTAAGGTCGGGAGATGCAGCCGCCGCCTCCCGGCCAGGCCCGGGGTCCCGCTGCTTCCCTCCTCCCCACCACCACGTCCTCATCATGGGCTGGAAAACCAGGGATCCCAGAGCCCCAGGGATCCCAGAGGGGGTTGCAGGTGGGACTGGGCACACGGTGCCTGGTGCCAAAGGGGAGTGAGATTCCCTGTTCCCGGCAAACCCCCTCGAGCTGAAGGTCCTGCAGTTCAACCAGTGCCCATGAGGTTCAGAGTCATGGAATGGTTTGGATCATCTAATCCCACCCCCTGCATGGGCAGGGACACCTCCCACCAGCCCAGGCTGCTCCAAGCCCCATCCAACCTGCCCTTCAACACCCCTAGGGATGGGGCAGCCACAGCTTCCCTGGGCAACCTGGGCCAGGGTCTCACCACCCTCACAGGGAAGAATTATTTCCTAATGTCCAACCTAAATCCCCCCTTTCCAGTTAAAAGCCTCCAGGAGAATTCTTCCCTCCCTGCAGAGATGTCCCTATTTTGCATGAGAAGGAAAAGCCAGGGGGTTGGGCTGGGAGCTGAAGCTGCTTCCCCAAACCTGTCCCACGAGTGTCCCCAATAAAAGGGATAATTACAGAGCTGGCTTTTATTGCCACAGCTCCAGCTGCAGCTTGTGGTTTGAGGGGGGAAGTTTTATGGCTTTTTATTTTTTTTTAAGGGCGGGATAAGTGGGGATCCTCAGTTGGAAGGCACATTCAGACACCTCTGCTTATTAAAGTATAAATTAAAAGTTGTTAAGCAATTAAGTTGTACTTTTATTGAACAATGTGAGCTGGGTCAGAACAGGAGTGGCTTTGTCAAGTGCCACGTGCTCTGGAAGGGACCCTTGTGACTGGAGATGCTGCAAGGATCATCAGGGAATGTCCCAGCAGTTCCTGGAAGGTTTCCAGCCTAGAAGGATTGGGGACCTGCCCTTGGGGACAGGGGCAGAGCTTCTCAGCCTGGCAGTGGCACCTGGACTCTGTTGGAGGTGTGAAAGAGGGAGACATGGAGGTGTTCTGGTCTCTGCAAACCCCTCCAGGCTCAATGCATCTGTCAGAGTGTTGTGGTTTGGGCCCAACATGACAATAAAGAACCAGCCCCATGGCCGCTCACTCAGACCCCCCCTCACACACCCTGGGATGGGGAGGACAAAGCCCAACTAGAAGCTCCTGGGTCCAGACAAAGGACA